TCAGGCCAAAAAAAAGAAAAAAATTTTGAGGGAATCCGTTGCTAGTAGATTTGCTTTGCAAGATATATTAAGTTCTTTAGAAAGAAGAAAAATAATATAGGTGAGAAACTCAGATTCAACATAAAGGAAGAGTACTGAAGAAGGAATAAATAAAAGCAAAATAAAAACATTTGCCTTATTCTAATTGATCTAACAGATAATAGTCTATTCAAAATAATAATACCAGGAATGTACACTTATGTATACTTGTTACGTATATGTTCAGTTCAGTTGCTCAGTCATGTCCGACTCTTTGTGACCCCATTGACTGCAGCACACCAGGTTCCTCTGTCCATCACCACCTCCCAGAGCTTCCTCAAACTCATGTCCATCAAGTTGGTGATGCCATCCAACCATCTCATCCTCTGTCATCCCCTTTTCCTCCCACCTTCAATCTTTCCCAGCATCAGGGTCTTTTCAAATGAGTCAGTTCTTTGCATCAGGTGGCCAAAGTATTTGAGTTTCAGCTTCAGCATCAGTCCTTCCAATGAATATTCAGGACTGACTTCCTTTAGGATGGACTGGTTGGATCTTCTTACAATCCAAGGGACTCTTAAGAGTCTTCTCCAACACCACAACTCAAAAGCATCAATTCTTTGGCACTCAGATTTCTTTATAGTCCAACTCTCACATCTGTACATGACTGCTGGAAAAACCACAGCTTTGACCAGATGGACCTTTGTTGGCAAAGTAATGTCTCTGCTTTTTAATATGCTGTCTAGGTTGGTCATAGCTTTTCTTCCAAGGAGCAAGTGTCTTTTAATTTCATGTTTAAAGTCACCATCTGCAGTGATTTTGGAGCCCAAGAAAATAAAGTCTCTCATTGTTTCCATTGTTTCCCCATTTATTTGCCATGTATATGTTATGCTGATATATGTTTTACATATGTATAAACTTATATTATGCATATATTATGGATGCTTATGTATATATATTTTGTATATATGTGCTATTTATGTTTATATATGAGTGAAATGAATAACAGCAATGATATAAGGAACTAGATTAGATAATTAGGATTGTTTTATTGTTATAATATACTCACACAACCTGTTAAGTGGAATAGTGTTACTTCAAAGTGGACTTGGATTCGTTGTAAACATATATTGGAAATCCTAGGGCAACCACTAAAAAGGTTAAAAAAAAAAAGAAGTATAACTGATGTGCCAAGTAAGGAAAGAAAATGGAATCATAAAAAATGCTCAATTAAACCACAAAAGGCAGTAAGAAAGTGGAAGACAAAAATAGCAACAAAGAACAAGGACAACAAATGTTAACAGAAAACACAGTAATGAATGCAGTATACATTAATCCAACTAAATCAATAATCACTTTGAATGTCAATGGTGTGAATGGATCAATTAAAAGATGCAAATTGCCAGAACTGATCAAAAATCAGCTCACAACTATGTTATCTGCAAGAAATCCACTTTAGAATAAAGGCACAAATAGATAAAAGTAAACAGAGAAAAATATATTGTGTTAACATTAATCAAAAGAAAGCGGGAGAGCTATATTAAATTCAGAGAGTAGACTTCAAAGTAACAGAAGTTATCAGGGATAAAGACGGCCAGGACATGATGATAAAGGGGTCAATTATTCAAGAAGACATAACAATTCTTAATGTGCATGCACCTAACAACAGGGCATTTAAAGTATGTGAGGCAAAAACTGATAGCCCTGAAAGGAGAAACAGATGAATCCACCATCACAGGCGGAGTCTTCAGTACCCCTCTATCTGACACAGACAAATCCAGCAGGCAAAAAATCAGTAAGGACACAGATGAACTCAACAACACCATTAATAAACTTGATATAAATGACATCTACAAATTACTTCGTCCAGCAAGAGCAGAAAACACATTTTCCTGATATGGAACACTCATCAAGACAGATTACATTCTGGGCCATAAAATACACATTAACAAATTTAAAGAAAAGAAATCATACAATGTCTGCTTTTAGACCACAGTAGAATTAAACCAGAAATCAGTAACAGAAAGGTATTAACAACAAGAAAATCTTCAAGTATGTCGAGATTAAACAACACATGTCCAAGTGACATGTGAGTCAAAGAAGACATCTCAAAACAAGTTTTAAAATATTTTTAACTAAATGAACATGTAAATTATCAAAATCTGCAGGATGCAGCAAAACCAGTGCTTAGAGGGAAATTTATAGCATTGGATGAAAGATCTAAAATCAATAATCTAAGTTTCTATCTTAGGATACTAGAAAAAGAATAGCAAATTAAATCCAAAGTAAGCAGAAAACTACAGCAGAAATCAATAAAATTGAAAACAGGAAATCAATACAGAAAAAATGAAAACAAAGCTGGTTCTTTAAAGAGATCAATTGGTGTGATAAGTCTCTAGCTGGCCTAACTAAGGAAAAAGAAATGATGCTAATTACTAATATCAGAGATTAAAGAGGGAAAATAACCACGGATTTTTTGGAAATTAAAAGAATAAGCAAGAAATACAATAAACAACTCAACTGCCATAAATTTGATAACTTAGATGAAATGGACCAATTCCTTGAGAGGGAAAACTATTCATAGATGACACAACCATCTACGTAGAAAACCTGAAGAGATTAACCAAAAAATTCTTAGGACTAGTAAATGATCATAGCAAGGTTGCACAATATGAGATTAGCATACAAAATTCAATGTTTTCTTACATACCAACAATGAACAAATGGAATTTGAAGTTAATAACACAGTCTCATTTACATTAGCACCAAGAAAGCAAAATACTTAGGCATATAAATCTAACAAAATGTACATATAAGATCTATATGTACGGAAAACCACAAAACTCTGATGAATGAAGTCAAAGAACAACAAAATAAATGGAGAAATATTCCACACTCATGGTTAGAAAGCCTCAGTATTGTCAGCTCTTCCCAATTTTATCTATAGATTCAATGTGTGCACGCACGCTAAGTCACTTCAGTTGTATCTGACTCTCTGCAACCCTATGGGTCATGGCCCACCCGGCTCCTCTGTCCTTGGGATTCTCCAGGCAAGAGTACTGGAGCGCCCTCTCACAGGGGATCTTCTCGCCCAGGGTATGGAACCCACGCTTCTTACATCTGCTGCATTGGCAGGTGGGTTCTTTACCACTAGCACCACCTGGGAAGCAATGCAATCCCAATCAAAATCCTGGCAAGTTATTTTGTGATTATCAACAAAATGATTCTAACGTTTATATGGAGAGGGAAAAGACTCAGACTATCCAACACAATAACTGGAGGAGAATAAAGCTGGAAGACTGACACTATTCTACTTTGAGACCTACTATAAAGCTATGGTAATCAAGACAGTGTGGTGCTACTGGCAAAAGAATAGACAAATACATTAATAGGACATAACAGAGAATCCAGAAATAGAACCGTATAAATACCATCAACTGATCATTGGCAAAGAAGCAAAGACAATACAATGGAGCAAAAGTTACCTCTTCAACAGATAGTGCTGGAGCAACTAGACACTCACATGAAAAATAAAGAGCCAGACACAGAGACCATATATGCTTCACAGAAATTGACTCACAATGGATCACAGATGTAAATGTTAAACTCAAAACGATAGAACTACAAGTTAACATTAACACAGAAGGAAACCTACACAACCTTGGGTATGGTGAAGCCTTTTTAGATACAATAACAAAGACATGATCTTGAAAGAAATAATTGATAAGCTGGACTTGATAAAAATTAAAAACTTCTGCTCTGTGAAAGCCAAAATTGAGAGAATTACATGATAGCCACAGACTGAGAAAATATATTTACAAAAGACAAATCTGATAAAGGACTGCTATTCAAAATACACAAAGAGTCATTAAAATGCAACAATAAGAAAACAAACAGCCCAATCTTAAAAATAGCCGAAGACCTTAACAGCCACTCCACCAAAGAAGATAAACAAGCAGCAAATATGCATATGAAAAATGGTCCACCTCATATGTCATCAAGGAATTGAAAATTAAAACAACAAACTACCACTAAACAACTACTGCAACAGCCAAAACCTGGAACACTGATGACATGAAACGCTGGCAAGGATGTGGAGCAACAGGAACTCTCATTTATTGTTGGGAGAAATGAAGGCAAAGTGGTACGTTTTAGAAGACCATCTGGCAGTTTCTTACAAAACTCAACATACTCTTACCATATGATCCAACATCTTCCGTGATATTTACTTAAAGAAGTTGAAAAATTATGTCTTCATAAAACCTGCACACAGATGTTTATAGCAACTGTATTCATAGTAGCCCAAAAGTGGAAAGAATTCAAATGCCCATTAACTGAAGGATGGATAAACAAAATATGGTATACCCACATAATGGAGTATTATCCCACAATCAAGAGACATGAAATATTAATGAAGTACTGATACATGCTACAACTTGGATGAAAACCTTAAAAACATTACGCTCAGTGAAAGAAGCAAGACGAGATACTATAGGATGTCACTCCTATGAAATATGCAGAATTGGCAAATCCACTGAGACAAAAATGTAGTGGCTACCAAGGGCAGGATAGGAAGAAGGTGTTTGGGGGAAACAGGAAGGGATTGCTAATGGGTCTTAGGGTTTCTTATTGGGGTGGTGAAAATTATTCTGAAACTGACTGTGGTGATGCTCAGTCAACTCTGCAGCCTGGGAGCCTTGTGACCTTAGACAAGGACTCCTCCTGAGCCAATTGCTGTCTCCATAAAATGTCAACCATATGCTCATATGTCAATCGCTGAGTATGGTAATACTCAAACAATTAAACCCTGAGTGTGAAAGTATCAGGCACGTAACAGGAGTCCCATACAAGCTAAAAGTATGCCAAAGTACCTTGTGACCAATACCTTCACAAATGCCAGGTGATTTTATAATTTCACATATAAGATTATACATTATCAGAAATTATCCATTTTCAGTTTCACATAATGCTTTCCAAAGACTCACCTGAGCTCCGTGCCCCACTGTTTAAAAGAGAAGTTAATAGAATTTGGAGGCCCTGAGGTGGGCTGATTTGCAGCTTGCTCTCCTACCAGCTCCCCAGGGGCGGCTTCCACAGCTAGGACATTTCTGGCTTTTTCTGCAGAAGCATTTGAGTGCAGGTTAATTAAATCTGAAAGAAAGGCAAACAAGTGTCAGTCATTCAAACATTCCACAGGGAACTTGATATCCCACATAACACACTATCTTGACAAACTATATAAAAACTTATATTATATATTACAGTATTTTTAAGTGTTATTTATTTTTGGTTGCGCTGGGTCTTCGTTGCTGCATGCAGGCTTTCTCTGGTTGGGGTGAGCGGAGGCTACTCTTCGTTGCAGTGCATGGGCTTCTCATTGCGGTAGCTTCTCGTTGCAGAGCACAGGCTCTACGGCGTTCGGGCTTCAGGACTGTGGTGCACGGGCTTAGCTGCTACAAGGCGTGTGGGATCTTCCCAGACCAAGGATTGAACCTGTGCCCGCTGCACTGACAGCCAGATTCTTATACACTGTACCACCAGGGAAGTCCAATATCATAGTGTATATTTTTCATGTGTACCACATAAAAATACAATCTGTAGATGGCTAGGGTGTTCTGTAAACATTTTCATCTAAAAGTTGATCCACGTTCCTCAGAGGAAGGTTGTACATGCTTCAAACCAGCAAGTGTTAACAGCAACAGCACAGGGAAAATAGCTAGAGCTCATCTCTGCTGTCTTGTAGATCAGTAAACCCAGTATAGAGCTGTGATCATGGTCCACTTACCTACACCAATTAGGGACAATTTCCAGGATAAACTGTTATGTTAAAAAAAAAACACAGACCAGATTACACTAATGCCCTTTTCTGTAAGTGGGGAACAGAATACATACATACTTGCTAATTGAAAATACTGACACTGAAAAAATAAGTTTACACACAAAGGCCAGCAGTTCAGTAAATTCACAGGCAAATGCACTGATGCTAAAGTCTGATCAAATCTGAGACTATGTCTTAAAAATGTAAGCATTTGGAATATTTGAGGTTGCAATGATATGCTGCCCAGAATTTGCTTCAAGATAACAATATTTTGTTATTCAACAAATAAATGATATCCACCTCAAACAACATGTTATTTGCCTCCAAATAATAAAATTAAGTGGGTAAGTATATCAATGAAACAAAATGGGCCATGAAATACTAATTGTTGAAACTACCTAATAAACATGTGGGTAATATTATGTTATTCTCTCTTTGCATATGCTTAAAATTTCCCATAATAAAAACTTACTTTTCTAAGGTTCTGGTAAAATGTATCCAATAATAAATATTTTGTATTCTTCCCAACTGTATAATCTCTCTGAGAATATACATGTTTGTAAATAGAATTTAACACTTTTTCATGATAATCAATTTGATCCATACTTTCCTGGAATAAAGCATCCCTAGACTGGTAATGTCAATCATCACTTTCAGTGGAAACAATCAGAATGGAATGCTGGACACTGATATCCAAGGAAAAATTTACTTTCTAATCAGATGAGCACACAACCTGAGTTCACTCAGGACAAGTCACTGTGAAGGTCGCTGAGCACCAACAGAGAAGGCAGAGCAGAGGAAACACTGCAGTCAGGGGTCCTTGACAACTGATGTTCCGAATGAGAACACCTGCCGATGGGCTCACACTTTGTTGGCAGGTCACTCACTTGACTGTAAGCAGCGTGGGAAGGGCTCTGGAAACACACTGGGAAAAGAATGCTGGGTGTGACACGAAGTGACTGCTGTGTATGCATCAGGGGAACTGGGGCCTGGCCAGGAGAGTCAACATCTGGCTCATAGTAGGGTTCTGAGTACGAAAAGCAAGAATTAGTGTTGGGAGACAGAAGGACTATGGGCTTGGCAATGGATTACCAGGTTAAGTCAAGAAGGCCAGATTCCTGGCCTGATTCCTGATTCAAACGACGACTGTGTATGAAGCATTAGTGCTCAGGGTACAACAAACGATCAGACAGAGTTCTTTCGCTAAAGGAGAACACATCTAGGAGAGAGACATAAAATAATAAAATGTTAAGCTCCAGGTCACCACCGAATGCACCGAGTCCCTGGTATCCAGACCTTCCTCTGAGTCTCAGGGTCCAGGAGACGCCTTGGGGATTTTCCACGGGACAGAAGGAAGGGGTCTTGCCCTCAGCTTCAACCAAAGTGGTTCCTCTTTTCACTCTTTTATATGCTGGAGTTCCCCGTGAGATTTCATTTGGGGAAAGAAAAAAAGAGTTTGAAAAAACAAACGAAGAAACGCCAAGTTCAAACACCACTAACGGGGTCCAGCCTCCTCCACCTACTTCATCTGTCAGGACATGGAAGACCAGAGTCTCTGCAGCAACAACTGCATGCGGGGCAGTGACTGTACCGGGCAGAGGCGGGCACCCGACATCTGTGAGCATGTGTCAGTAAGATGGCACATGGGCACACCTCTTCTTTAGACAAAGGTAAAGTCAACACCCAGGCTTTCCAGAGGCTGGTCTTTCACAGACCCCTCACAGGCGAAGCATCACAGCTCTAAGCCAAGCCAGGAAATAAGCACAACGCACGGCACCTGTTTCTGTCTTGAGCCGAGTCCAGCCCCTTCTTCCTGTGTGGGTTGGCAGCAAGGTGACGCACAGGCCCTCTGCGGGGGAGACTGTCAAGGGCGCTAGCACAGCCCAGCGCCCAGGACCAGGGCGCCCAGCCCTTGCAGCAGCCCTGGGCTACGCTGGAAAAGCTTCCTGAGGAACTTGGGCCCGGGGGTGGGGTGCAGAAACAGGACTGGAGCCAGGGAGGATGTTGGCAAAACAGACCATTTCTAAAAGTCATTATCTGATGTGAAAAAGAAGCCATTTCCAGGTTTTAGCTACTATTGTTTGTCTGGTTTGGGGTTGTTAAAAGACCACGTGGAGGTTTCCTTAATTAAAAGCGGAGCTGCTGGCTTCTCCTCAATACATGTACCAACATTAGCATTCAGGGGACCGCTTTAAGGAGGACACAAACTAGGACAGGACAGTATTTCCTTGAAGCCTCAAGAGGATGGACTGGGTTCACAAACATGTGCTTTACCATGCAGCTACAGTGGGGAAAAGAGTCTGTGCTTGAAGAGTTTTGATGTTTAGATCTTTGTTATTTTTGAAAATTTTCAAATGCCTAAATGACACTTCTGAGCGAGTTTTGGACTACAAATTTTACCTTCCTGGGTTCTGATTCCAGCAGAGCCTCTATCATCCCAGGGTGGCCATTCCCAGATCTCCAGGAGTCTTTCTCACTGGACGCAGTCTAACACCAGGGGCCCTACACAGGGGAGGCTCCTGCTCACATCTGGTCATCTCCGTGAGTCTTCCCCTCCTCTCCTGCTCCTAGCCCCCCACCAGCAACCCTGAAGAGGGCAGAACAGAGAGCCAAGATGCAGCACCATCCAAGAAATGAGGAAACAGCACTGGGGAAAGGCATTCCCATGTCAAGGTTACTGTAAGAGAGAGCCTGTGGGTCCCCACTGGGAGCTGGAGGAGGCCACTGAGTGGGGTTAACCTGAAAAAGCTTTTTTTCCCCTTTATCAAAGTGAGTTTAACCCAGCTTGTGAAGGAGTGGCTGGGAGCACCACAGTTACCTTCCAAGTGAGGGTGCAGTGTGCATCTACCCCAAAAGGAAGTAGAGGCAGCAAGCCCCCGGGTCTCAGAGGCCCCAGGGTGGACCAGCCCACGTATCTGGTTAATGACTTGTCCATCCGCTCTCTCCCAAGCCTCGCCAAGGATGTAAATCTTGTGAGAATCGGACCCCTGTCTGATGTGCTGATGGCCACATACCCCACAGCAGACACAGAGGGGGGACTCGATAAACACTGGTAAACGGCTGAAGGAAAAAATGAAGGACGACTGCCGTGGTGCGGAGGAAGGGCCTGCTGTGGGCTGAGGACACTGGGCAGGAGGCAGCGGGCCCTGCCGTTCTCTAAGAATCTATGCTCACCATCCCTCCCAGCTCCCCGTCTCCTGCCACCTCGCCCCTGAGAGACCCCCTGAATGATGGGTGGGGGAGCACACCCCAACCCAGGGCTTCTCTCTCTTGCCTTCTCACGCCTCCATGCACTCCTGCGTCATGCTCAGGGCCCCCATCCACCCCCCACATTCACTGCACCCCATCCCACCCAAAGCTGGGCTTGGCCCGTCTCCACAAACACCACAGTCCAGCCCACCATGGACAGTCTCCTGCAAATCTTCAGGAGGCTCCCACAGGCTCCCCCAGAGATACAGCTGGAATCTAACCCTGCTCATCATCTCCCTCCCTGTCACAGCCTGGCGTCAGGAATCACAGAAACTTCAATCCAGAAGGAAACTCAGAGAGCATCTTGTTTCCAGGCGGGGAAACGGTGTGTGCCCGAGGTTCCACGCACTTTCTGCACTAGATCAGGCTGCCTCTCAGCCTCAAGGTTGATAATCACCGTGACTTACACATCACAACAACACCTGGCATTCTGTGGAATTTTACAAACAGGATTATATAAAAGCACAGCTTCTTTGATGACTTTGGGGAACTGGGACATTAAATGACTTGGTAGAATTCCTGTGGCTTTGCCAATGTGGGATCTGCATCCCACCCTACGGTTTCCCTCCCTCCAGTCCCAGCACGTGCACAGAGAGCCCAGCACACGCTGGGGAAGGACTGGACCCAGCGGCCACTTCCCTTCCCCTCCCCCTGCTCCCACACAAGCCGCCGGCACCACGGCAGTTACTCTTGCAGCTGTTTCAGAGGAGGAAATGTGCGGTCATCCCTCAAACCGTCTTCACCGTACCATTTTCTGTGAGAAATACCCCGGAACTCAAACAGGCACTTGGGCACTGAAGCCTCCTGTGATCCTACGGGCTTCTGTACTCCGGAACTCTCAAGAAGTCTTAAAATACAAAGTCCTGCTTTCTCTCGCTTGTTCGCCTATTCGTTTGGATGGGAAATGGAGTATACAGAACGTGCAGCACATCCATCTTGTAATTGGGTTCTGGCTACCTCTTTCCCAACAGCTCTGAAGGTCGGCAGATTCTTGATTTTATCTTTGCAAATTACTCCTTTGTGTTGAAACTAGGTCTTTATCTACCCAAACATGGAGGACATACAGAGAGGCATCTGGGGCATG